TGTGTGTTTGCAGCAGTTCAGAAACCCTTTCCTGGGAGAATGTAGAAACAGTCATTTCCAGCCCTAGAGACGCATATAAGAGTTTGCAGTAAGAATGCGTTTAAAACACAGAAGACCCGCTTCTTACGAACTCATCTGCTGTGTGTTGGTTCCTTTTAGGAAGTTGCATCTATGGTTAGATTCAGCGAGGTAGAAACACGTTTCTTCTAAAAGCTGCGTTTGGACATTCCAGAGTGGATGGGAGAACAGGCTGTAAAGAGAAATACCTTGCTCTAAAACCAAAACGGAGCTATCTAGCAGAATGGTTGTCAATGTGTGTATTCAACTTCCAGAGTTAAACTGATGTGTGTTTGCAGCAGTTCAGAAACCCTTTCCTGGGAGAATGTAGAAACAGTCATTTCCAGCCCTAGAGACGCATATAAGAGTTTGCAGTAAGAATGCGTTTAAAACACAGAAGACCCGCTTCTTACGAACTCATCTGCTGTGTGTTGGTTCCTTTAGGAAGTTACATCTATGTTTAGATTGTGAGAGGTTGCAACACGTTTCTTCAAAAAACTGCGTTTGGGTCATTCCAGGGTGGATGGGAGAACAGGCTGTAAAGAGAAATACCTTGCTCTAAAACCAAAACGGAGCTATCTAGCAGAATGGTTGTCAATGTGTGTATTCAACTTTCAGAGTTAATCTGATGTGTGTTTGCAGCAGTTAAGAAACCCTTTCCTTGGAGAATGTAGAAACAGTCATTTCCAGTCCTAGAGACGCATATAAGAGTTGGCAGTAAGAATGCGTTTAATACACAGAAGACCCGCTTCGTACAAACTCATCTGCTGTGTGTTGGTTTCCTTTAGGAGTTGCATCTATGTTTGATTCAGCGAGGTTGTAACAGGTTTTCTTCTAAAAACTGCGTTTGGACATTCCAGAGTGGATGGGAGAAGAGGCAGTAAAGAGAAATACCTTGCTCTAAAACCAAAACGGAGCTATCTGGAAGAATGGTTTTCAATGTGTGTATTCAACTTTCATAATTAAAACTGATGTGTGTTTGCAGCAGCTCAGAAACCCTTTCTTTGGAGAATGTAGAAACAGTCATTTCCAGCCCTAGAAACGCATATAAGAGTTAACAGTAAGAATTCCTTTAAAACACAGAATACCCGCTTCGTACAAACCTCATCTGCTCTGTGTTGGTTCCTTTTAGGAAGTTGCATCTATGTTTAGATTCAGCGAGGTAGAAACAACGTTTCTTCTAAAAGCTGCGTTTGGACATTCCAGAGTGGGATGGGAAAACAGGCTGTAAGGGGAAAATACCTTGCTCTAAAACCAAAACGGAAGCTATCTAGCAGAATGGTTGTCAATGTGTGTATTCAACTTTCAGAGTTAAACTGATGTGTGTTTGCAGCAGTTCAGAAACCCTTTCTTTGGAGAATGTAGAAACAGTCATTTCCAGCCCTAGAGACGCATATAAGATTTATCAGTAAGAATGAGTTTAAAACACAGAAGACCCGCTTTGTACAAACTCATCTGCTGTGTGTTGGTTCCTTTTAGGAAGTTGCATCTATATTTAGGTTCACCGAGGTAGAAACACGATTCTTCTAAAAGCTGCGTTTGGACATTGCAGAGTGGATGGGAGAACAGGCTGTATAGAGAAATACCTTGCTCTAAAACCAAAACGGAGCTATCTAGCAGAAATGGTTGTTCAATGTGTGTATTCCACTTCCAGAGTTAAGCTGATGTGTGGTTGCAGCAGTTCAGAAACCCTTTCTTTGGAGAATGTAGAAACAGTCATTTCCAGCCCTAGAGGCGCATAAAAGATTTATCAGTAAGAATGCGTTTAAAATACAGAAGACCCGCTTCGTACAAACTCATCTGCTGTGTGTTGGTTCCTTTTAGGAAGTTGCGTCTATGTTTAGATTCAGCGAGGTAGAAAAACGTTTCTTCTAAAAGCTGCATTTGGACATTCCAGAGTGGATGGGAAACAGGCTGTAAAAGAAATACCTTGCTCTAAAATAAAAACGGAGGTATCTAGCAGAATGGTTGTCAATGTGTGTATTCAACGTTCAGAGTTAAACTGATGTGTGTATGCAGCAGTTCAGAAACCCTTTCTTTGGAGAATGTAGAAACAGTCATTTCAAGCCCTAGAGACGCATATAAGAGTTGGCAGTAAGAATGCGTTTAAAACTCAGAAGACCCGCTTCGTACAACTCATCTGCTCTGTGTTGGTTCCTTTTAGGAAGTTGCATCTATGTTTAGATTGTGCGAGGTTGCAACACGTTTCTTCAAAAAACTGCGTTTGACATTCCAGAGTGGAAGGGAGAACAGGCTGTAAAGAGAAATACCTTGCTCTAAAACCAAAACGGAGCTATCTAGCAGAATGGTTTGTCAATGTGTGTATTCAACTTTCAGAGTTAAACTGATGTGTGTTTGCAGCAGTTCAGAAACCCTTTCTTTGGAGAATGTAGAAACAGTCATTTCCAGCCCTAGAGACGCATATAAGAGTTAGAAGTAAGAATGCGTTTAAAACACAGAATACCCGCTTCGTACAAATTCATCTGCTGTGTGTTGCTTCCTTTTAGGAAGTTGCCTCTATGTTTAGATTCAGCCAGGTTGCAACAGGTTTCTTCTAAAAACTGCGTTTGGACATTCCAGAGTGGATGGGAGAACAGGCTGTAAAGTGAAATACCTTGCTCTAAAACAAAAACGGAGCTATCTATCAGAATGGTTGTCAAAGTGTGTATACAACTTCCAGAGTTTAACTGATGTGTGTTTGCAGCAGCTCAGAAACCCTTTCCTTGGAGAATGTAGAAAGAGTCATTTCCAGCCTTAGAGACAGATATAAGAGATATCAGTAAGAATGCGTTTAAAACACAGAATACCCACTTCGTACAAACTCATCTGCTGTGTGTTGGTTCCTTTTAGGAAGCTGCATCTATGTTTAGGTTCACCGAGGTAGAAACACGATTCTTCTAAAAACTGCGTTTGGACATTCCAGAGTGGACGGGAGAAGAGGCTGTAAAGAGAAATACCTTGCTCTAAAACCAAAACGGAGCTATCTAGCAGAATGGTTGTCAATGTGTTTATTCATGTTCCAGAGTTAAACTGATGTGTGTTTGCAGCAGTTCAGAAACCCTTTCTTTGGAGAATGTAGAAACAGTCATTTCCAGCCTTAGAGACGCATATAAGAGTTATCAGTAAGAATGCGTTTAAAACACAGAAGACCCGCTTCGTACAAACTCGTCTGCTGTGTGTTGGTTCCTTTTAGGAAGTTGCATCTATGTTTAGATTGTGCGAGGTTGCAACACGTTTCTTCAAAAAACTGCGTTTGGACATTCCAGAGTAGATGGGAGAACAGGCTGTAAAGTGAAATACCTTGCTCTAAAACCAAAACGGAGCTATTTATCAGAATGGTTGTCAAAGTGTTTATACAACTTCCAAAGTTTAACTGATGTGTGTTTGCAGCAGCTCAGAAACCCTTTCCTTTGAGAATGTAGAAACAGTCATTTCCAGCCCTAGAGACGCATATAAGAGTTGGCAGTAAGAATGCGTTTAAAACACAGAAGACCCGCTTCGTACAAACTCATCTGCTCTGTGTTGGTTCCTTTTAGGATGTTGCATCTATGTTTAGATTCAGCAAGTTAGAAACACGTTTCTTTTAAATGGTGCGATTGGACATTCCACAGTGGATGGGAGAACAGGCTGTAAAGAAAAATACTTTGCTCTAAAACCAAAACGGAGCTATTTAGCAGAATGGTTGTCAATGTGTTTATTTATCTTCCAGAGTTAAACTGATGTGTCTTTGCAGCAGTTCAGAAACCCTTTCTTTGGAGAATGTAGAAACGGTCATTTCCAGCCCTAGAGACGCATATAAGAGTTATCAGTAAGAATGCGTTTAAAACACAGAAGACCAGCTTCGTACAAACTCATCTGCTGTGTGTTGGTTCCTTTTAGGAAGTTGCATCTATGTTGGTCAGCTCTCCCATTGGTAAATCCACTGTAAAATTCCAAACCCATTACTAATAGCGGAGGAAGGGAGAAGCTGTAATGACAAGGAAATGTGGGAACAAGGGCATGAGAGGAACAGGGATTTGGAGGAGGACTCTGGTTAACATTGAAATTGAGTCTGCTTTCCAATTTCTACAATTATTTTAAAATGAATCATTGCAGGGGGTGGGATTGCTGAATGTTGCTGTCCAACTTACTGTCATGGAAAAGTAAAAGTTGCTGTCCGACTTACTGTCATGGAAAAGTAAAGCCAAAACCCCACTTATTAAAGAAGTGAAAAGATGAACTTTGGTATGTCGAAACACTCATCTTTTTCTTTTCTTTTTCTTTTTCTTTTTCTTTTTCTTTTTTTCTTTTTTTTTTTTTTTGAGACGGAGTTTCTCTCTTGTTACCCAGGCTGTAGTGCAACAGCGTGATCTTGGCGTGATCTCACGCGATCTTATCTCACCGCAACCTATACCTCCTGGGTTGAGGTAATTCTCCTGCCTCAGCCTCCCGAGTAGCTGGGATTACAGGCACATGCCACCGTGACCAGCTAATTTTTTTTGTATTTTTAGTAGAGACCAGGTTTCACCACGTTGACCAGTATGGTCTTGATCTCTTGACATCGTGATCCACCCACCTTGGCCTCCCACAGTGCTGGGATTACAGGCGTGAGCCACCGCCCCGGCCAACGCTCATCTTTTTTTAAACTTCATTCATCATCATTTTCATTATAATTGTAGCACAACATTTTCTCAAGCCAAAGAAGAAAAATATTACCTAAGACCTTAGTATAAAGGTATTTTTGTGCAATGATTAAACAACATATAACCCAGAGCCAAATTTCCTGGGTTCAAATCTAACTTATGGTCACTTTGGCTCAGTTTTCTCATCTGTGCTGGTAATAGATTAGTAACAACCTCTTTGGATAGTGGTGATGGTCACCTGATAATAATTCTTACAAACCTACTGTGACAGTACCATGACAAACGCTATGCTGGCTCTCCCTTTAAAACACCACTTGTTAGCATCTGGGAATATGTTCTGGCTGAGTTGCTGATACCAACTGCAAGGTTTAAGTAAGAAGATACCTCTGTGGGAAGTGAAGCAATACTGTTTGAAGTGGGGCAGCCCAGGCTGGTAAAAGAAAGAGCAACTTTGTGCAAGAAAAAGAGCAGAAATGTACAAGCAGACACAGGACTAGACTAAAACACAATAAGGCAGCCAGGCGTGGTGGCTCATGCTTGTAATCCAAGCACTTTGGAGGCCAAGGCGGGTGGATCATCTGAGGTCGGGAGTTCAAGACCAGCCTGACCAACACGGTGAAACCCCATCTTAAAAAAAAAAAAAAATACACAATGAGGCTATGGCATAGTTAGGTCTCTAGGGTTTTCAATTAAACAGCATGTTAATCAAATGGAGACAGCTACCTGCATTAAAATACTAGCAATGTGGCTTCTATCTGTGTGTCACTGGTCAAGTTTACTTCACTTTTCTGCATGTCATCTACCTAGGCTACCTCATTTATAAAATGAAAATACTGACAATATCTCCCTTAGGGGGTTATGAAGATTAAATGCACAATTGTAAGTAGTTAGAACCATCTCTAATGCATATAAAACCCTGAACAACAATTTTCTGTTAGTTTAATATTTGTTACCATTTATAGATGTGGTGATTATCATTAATGGACTAACATTTTCTGTAAGAGATGATTTTCAAGCTTTCTGAAGTGCCCTTGATGATAGACTATTTATTTCTTCTCCAAGCTTTAAAAAAAAAAAAAAATTATCCTAGGTGGAGTATTAACTGGTAGTGCTATTGGAGAGATGATTAACCAGCTGTTGTGTGGAAAACTAATTATTAATTTGCTCAGGACCAGCATTGCCTATCCTTAGAGGGTTTCAGACATAAGGTAGATTATAGTATTCAAAACTTCTTTTATTCTTTGTTGAAATGAAATCATAGACACTCAAATGTGTAAAACTCACCAAAGCAGAGATATTTGATTGAAGAGGGGATAGGTCTGGAACCCGTTTTTGCTGTGTATGTCTTAACTTCCCCTGACACTTTCTAGAAACTCTAAGGACTAGAGTTTGAAAGATGACATGTAGGTAACTACTCAGAAGAACAGCATAGCAGGGAGGACATTCAGGCATTAGATGGGGTAGATGACTGTAAATGTTCACTCCAGCTCTAGGATTACATGGTTCTACACATTAACTGAGTAACCACTTGCATGTGTACATACTACTGGGTGCTGTACATTGGGTAATAGGTGGCTCTGTCTTTAGATTCACAGAGCTTGCACTCCACATTGAAACCCATGTGTATTAGTCCATTCTTACACTGCTATAAACATATCTAAGACTGATATGTGAGACTGAGACTGATTTATAAAGAAAAGAGGTTTCATTGGCTCATGGTTCTGGGGGTTGTACAGTCTTCTGGGCAGGCCTCAGGAAACTTACTATTATTGTGAAAGTTGAAGGGGAAGCAGGCATGGTCTTCACAGGGCCAGAACAGGAGAGAGAGACAGAATGAAAAGGGAGGTGCTACCCTTTAAAACAAGCAGACCTCGTGAGAGCTCATTCACCCTTACGAGAATAGAAGGGGTAAATCCATCCCCAGGATCCAGTCACTTTCCAGCAAGTCCCTCCCCAACATTGGGGGTTACAATCCAACGTGAGTTTTTGTGGGGACACAGAGCCAAACCATATCACCATGAGGAATATTTGTACGATAATTAGAAAACAATGAAATCCCACATCAAGTAATGAAATTACTACTCAGAACTTAACTTTTTTTCTTGTTTTTTTTTTTTTTTTTTTTTTTTTTTTTTTTTTTTGGAGATAGAGTTCATTGCCCAGGCTAGAGTGCAGTGATGTAATCTCAGCTCACTAAAACCTCCATCTCTCACCTCAGGTTCAAGCAATCCTCCCACCTCAGCCTCCCAAGTAGCTCAGAATACAGGTGCATGCCACCACACTGGCTAATTTTTGTATTTTTAGTACAGATGGAGTTTCACCGTGTTTGTTAGGCTGGCCTCAAGCTCTCAACCTCAGGTGATTCACCCTCCTCAGCCTCCCAAAATGCTGGGACTACAGGAGTGATCCAGTGTGCCTGGCTAGAACTTTAGCTTAAATTGCCTTCTTACTGGTTATGGTTTATCCTCATGTCATTCAAAAGAATACCATCCTTGACCTTTTCACTGATTTTTCTTTATAACTTTCAGTTAATACTAGAGATGCCTGCCCAACACTTTTGAACCTGGCTTTTTTTTTTTTTGCCATTTACTGCATAATGCTTGATGTGTGTTATATGAAAATGTACTTGGGCTAAAGTGGGGAACCAAAGGGTATCTTTTTAAAGGAGAGTTAAACCAGACAAACCTGAGGCTGTTTATTCATTTCCTGTGCCTCAGGCAAGTCAAACAATGTGGAGAAGAATTCATCTTGGGCCAGGTGTGATGGTTCATGCCTTTAATCCCAGCACCTTGGGAGGCTGAGGTGCACATATCATTTGAGGTCAGGAGTTTGAGATTAGCCTGGCCAACATGACAAAACCACATCTCTACTAAAAATATTAAAAAACTAGCCTGGTATGGTAGTGGGCACCTGTAGTTCCAGCTACTTGGAAGGCTGAGGCAAGAGAATTGCTTAAACCAAGGAGGTGGAGGTTGCAGTGAGCCAAGATCGTGTCACTGCACTCCAGCCTGGACGACAGACTCTGTCTAACACACACAAAAATATAATAATAATAAGAGAGAGAATTCAACCTGGGGAGTTCCTTACGGGGATTCTAAGAGACCTCGCCTCTGAAACTCTTATAACCTATTATTCACTACATTCCCTCTTAAATTTTACTCTTCTTTCCCATCTTAGAATACATGATCCCTTAATCCAGGCTCAGGCTGAGGAACTAACCCACTTATGGCAGAAGGTACAGGAAGGGAGTGGTGTCTGCCACCTTTTCACCCAGCATGTGAAGAACACAGTTAAGTCTTTTGAGGGCCTCCTCAGAAACACTGGCATTGCCTATGACCAGAGACAGAGATTCTGTGAGCAAATGTTAGAAGGAAGCCAGCCGACAGAGATCCTTGCCTGAAACCTCACAACAGGTAAGCTAGCTACAGGCTCTGAAGACCCTTAGCTCCACCCAAGTCCCCCAAAGTGGGGAGAAAAAATACAAAGTTATCTCCATTGTAGATTTTATTTGGGTTTGAACTACGGTCCTAAATCCACATTCTATTGTTTTCTCTTTAGAGCACTCAGGTAATGACTTTCACTATTCTTTCAAGAGTTCTTAGCTTTGTTGTTTGAGACAGAGTCTTGCTCTCTTACCCAAGCTGGAGTGGAGGGACAGGATCTTGGCTCTGCAATCTCTGCCTCCTGGGCTTAAGCAATCCTCTCACCTCACACTGTACTTGGCCTGAAACTTGTTAGTTTCAATCAGTAAGAGAGATAGAGTATATTGGATTACTTCAACTTGATGAGTATAAGAAATCACCTTAATTTCTGGAAGATATTTTCACTGGATGTAGAATTCCAGTTGACAGTTTTGTTTTTGTTTTTAAAAAGTGTTTTAAAAGTGATATTCCACTGGCTTCTGGCTTACATTATTTCCTACAAGAAATCTGTCATAATTCTTATTTTTGTTCCTCTGTACATAATGTTTTTTCCTCCGGCTGTTTTGAGATTTTCTATTTATCACTGGTTTTAAGCAATTTGATTATGATAAGACCTTGTATAGTTCTATCTTTTACATATTGTTTTACTTCATTTAGTTTCTTGGATCTGCATGTTGATAGTTCTCACAAATTTGAATAATGATGACATAATATGTATTATACATGGCATATATAATATATCACATACATGGCATATATATATATATCAAATATATACAATATATATTTTATTTTTTATCTCTATCATCTCCTTCAAAGACTCCAGTAATATTTGTGTTAGCTGCTTTGAAATTTTACCACAGCTGACTAATGGTCTGTCCATTTTTGTTGTATTGTTTTTTCTCTTTGTTTCTTTTTATTTACATGTCTTGGAATTGATTTATCTTTCTTAAACAGCATCTAATTTGCTGTTAATCCTAGCCAGCTTTATTTATCATCCAAATTTAATTTAGGTCTTTTTAAATGTCTTCTATGTAACCCTTCATCATTTCATATTTTGCCCTAGCTTCTTCATTTTATTTCTTTCTAGTTTTTGAGACAGAGTCTCATTCTGTTGTCCCAGCTGGAGTGCAGTGGTGAGATTTTGGCACACTGCAATCTTCACCTCCTGGGTTAAAATGATTCCTGTGCTTCAGTTTCCTGAATAGCTGAGATTGCAGCCACATGTTGCCACACCCAGCTCATTTTTATATTTTTCATAGAGATGGGGTTTCACCACATTCACCTGGCTGGTCTAGAACTCCTGACCTCAGTGGCCTACCCACCTCAGCCTGCCAAAGGGCTGGAATTACAGGCATGAGCCTCTGCACTTGGCTCAGGATTGCACCTCCCAATGAAAGTGCAGAGGGTCTGCAGGGAAGATCACACAGCAGCTAGGCAGAGCCCACAGCAGCTCAGTAAAGCCTCTTCAGGCAGACAGTGACTAGACTGCCTCCTTGCTGGGCAGGGCAGCCCTGGAAAGAAAAAAGGCAGCAGCACAATGGAAACTCATAAATAAAGCCCTAATTCCCTGGAACAGGTCACCTCAAAAAAAAAAAAAAAAAAAAAAAAAAGGAGTTTATGAGTTTTGCTGCAGCAGACCTAAATGCACCTGCCCAGCAGCTCTGAATGAAAAATGGAGCTCACAGCTCAGCACTTGAGCTCCTATAAAGGACAGACTGTCTCCTCAAGCAGCTCCCTGACCCCTGTATATCCAAAGAGTCACCTTGTAAAGAAGAGAACAGACTGACATTAAGCAGGTATCCTTCTGGGACAAAGATAGCAGAAGAAGAAACTGGTAGCAAACTTTACAGTTCTGCAGCTGCTGCAGGTTATCCCCAGGCAAGCAGGGCCTGTAGTGGATCTCAGCAGTGCTACAGCAGAGGGGCCAGACTGTTAGAAGGAAACCTAAGAAACAGAAACAACTTCATCATCCACAAACTGGAAGTTCACTCAGAGACGAATCTGAAAGTCAGCAACTATAAAGATGACAGGTGGATAAATCCACAAAAATAGGAAGAAACCAGTGCAAAACGGATGAAAACACCCAAAACCAGAACACCTCTCCTCTAACAAGGGATCACAACTCCTCACCAGCAAGGGAACAAGGCTGGATGGAGAAAGAGTGTGATGAAATAACAGAATCATACATCAGAAGGTGAGTAATAAAAAAAAAAATCTTCTGTGAGCTAAAAGAACATGTTCTAACTCAATGCAAAGAAACTAATAACTTTGAAAAAAGATTTGATGAAATGCTAATGAGAATGGACAACTTAGAGAGAAATATAAGTGAATTGATGGAGCTGAAAAACACAACAAGAGAACTTTGTGAAGCATGCACAAGTTTCAACAGCAGAATTGACCCTACAGGCCAGAAGAGATTGGGGGCCAATAATCAACATCCTTAAAGAAAAGAACTTTCAACCCAGAATTTCATATTCAGCCAAACTAAACTTCGTAAGTGAAGAAAAAATAAAATCCTTTGTGAACAAGCAAGTACTCAGAGATTTTCTCCCCACCAGGCCAGCTTGACAAGAGCTCCTGAAAGAGACTCTACACATATAAAGGAGCAACCCATACAAGCCACTCCAAAAACATACCAAATGGTAAAGAGCAACAACATAATGAAGAATCTGCGTCAACTAATGGGCAAAACAGCCAGCTAGCATAAAAATGGCAGGATCAAATTTACACATAACAATACTATCCCTGAATGTATATGGACTAAATACCCCAATCAAAAGACACAGACTGGCAAATTGGATAAAAAGCCAAAACTCATTGGTGTGCTGTATCAAGGAAACCCATTTCACATGCAATGATACACAAAGGCTCAAAATAAAGGGATGGAGGAAGATTTACTAAGAAAATAGAAAAAAAAGAAGAAAAGAAAAAAAGCATGAGTTGCAATTCTCGTCTCTGATAAAATAAACTTTAAAGCAACAAAAATCAAAAGAGACAAAAAGGACATTACATAATGGTAAAAGGATCAATGCAACAAGAAGAGCTAATGATTCTAAATATATATGCACCCAATACAGGAGCACCCCGAAACTTAAGGCAAGTTCTTAATGACTTACAAAGAGACTTAGACTCCCACACAATAATAGTGGGAGATATTTAACACCCCATTGTTAATATTAGTCAGATCAATCAGACAGAAGATTAACAAGGATAACCAGGACTTGAACTAAGACCTAAAACAAGCAAACCTAATAGACATTTACAGAACTCTCCACCCTGAAACCACAGAATATACATTCTTCTCAGCACCACATCATGCCTACTCTAAAATTGACCACATAATTGAAAGTAAATCACTCCTCAGCAAATGCAAAAGAATGGAAATCATAACAAACAGTCTCTCAGACCACAGTGCAATTGAGTTAGAACTCGGAATGCAGAAACTAACTCAAAACTGCACAGCTTCATGGAAACTGAACAACTGGCTCTTGAACGTTGACTGGATAAACAATGAAATGAAGGCAGAAATAAAGATGTTCTTCAAAACCAACGAGAATGAAGACACAACATACTGGAATCTCTGGGACACATTTAAAGCAGTCCCTAGAGGAAAATATATAGTCATAAGCAACCACATGAGAAGGAAGGAGAAATCTAAAATTGACACCCTATCATCAAAATTGAAGGAGCTAGAGGAACAAGATAAAAAAAAAAAAAAAAAAAAAAAAAACCTCAAAACCTAGCAGAAGACAAGAAATAACTGAGATCAGAGCAGAATTGAAGGAGATAGAGACACAAAAAAAAAAACCTTCAAAAAATCAATAAATCCAGGAGTTGCTTTTTTGAAAAGATCAACAAAATAGACAGACCACTAGCCACATTAATAAAAAGAAAAGAGAGAACAACCAAAGAGATGCAATACAAAATGATAAAGGGGATATCACCACATATTTCACAGAAATTCAAACCATCATCAGAGATTATTACAAACAACTCTATGCACATAAACTAGTAAACCTGGAAGAAATGGATAAATTCCTGGAAACTTGCCTCCTCCCAAGCCTAAACCAGGAAGAAGTTGAAATCTTGAATAGATCAATAATAAGGTCTGAAGTTGAGGCAGCAATTAAGAGCTTACCACTCAAAAAAAGTCCAGGTCCAGATGGGTTCACAGCTGAATTCTACCAGACATACAAATAGGAGCTGGTACTATTCCTTCTGAAACTATTCCAAATAATCCAAAAAGAGGGAATCCTTACTAAATCATTTTATGAGACCAACATTATCCTGATACCAAATCCCGGCAGAGACTCAACAAGAAAAAACTTCAGGCCAATATCCATGATTAACATAGATGCAAAAATCTTCAATAAAATACTGGCGAGCCAATTGCAAAAGCACATCAAAAAGCTTATCCACCATGATCAAGTAGGATTCATAAAAGGGTTGCAAGGCTGGTTCAACATATGCAAGTCTATAAACATGATTCACCGCATAAACAGGACCAAAGACAAAAACCACATGATTATCTCAATTGATGCAGAGAAGGCCTTTGACAAAATTCAACAGCCCTTCATGCTAAAAACCCTCAATAAACTAGGTATTGATAGAATGTATCTCAAAGTAATAAAAGCTATTTACGACAAACCAACAGCCAATATTTTACTGAATGGGCAAAAACTGGAAGCATTTCTGCAGAAATCTGGCACTAGACAAGGATGCCTTCTCTCACCACTCCTATTCAATATAGTACTGGAAGTCTGAGCCAGAGCAGTCAGGCAAGAAAAAGAAATAAAAGGTATTCAATTAGGAAAGGAGGAACTCAAATTGTCTCTATTTGCAGATGACATGATTGTATATCTAGAAGACCCCATTGTCTCCACCCAAAATCTCCTGAAACTGATAAGGGACCTCAACAAAGTCTCAGGATACAAAATCAATGTGCAAAAATCACAAGCATTCCAATACACCAATAAAAGACTTAAAGAGAGCCAAATTAAGAATGAATTGCCATTCACAATTGCCCCAAAGAGAATAAAATACCTAGGAATACAACTAACAAGGAACATAAAGGATCTCTTCATGGAAAACTACAAGCCACTGCTCCACAAAATAAGAGAGGACACAAACAGAATGAGAAACATTCCATGTTCATGGTTAGGAATAATCAATATTTTGAAAATGGCCATACTGCTCAAAGTAATTTACAGATTCAACGCTATCCCCATCAAGCCACCAATGACCTTCTTCACAGAACTGGAAAAAAACACCTTAAACTTCATATGG